ATATTGAAATAAATGGATCTCATCGGAAACGATTTGTTGTATTCAGAGAAACACTATATGTTTTGACTGACCTAGATTTGTGAAGAGAAAGTGGTTGGCAGTAACAGGTAAAGAAATGATTTGTTGGAAGACTGACTTAGCAGCAAGAAGTAATGTCTTAAAACTTCAGAAATTATTTTTTTATAAAATAGCTGTGCCTGAGTTTTTTTTAGCTGCTTTTTAGTCTATTTAAGTTTCTGTGAAAGTTAACGTTTTTTACTTCATTGGATACACGCAGGCAAGTCTGAAGTACACATACTTTATATCTGCACTTTCTACAGAAATTGATGAGATGTCTGAAGTCTCGGCGAGAAGTTTGGACAGGTCTTCAGTACTTATTTCTTCTACAAAACAATGGTTTTTTATTGACCTTAAACAGTAAACTGAGCACAGTAAATTTATGGCATTTTTAACGGAATAAATAATGTTGTTAAAAATTTAAAAATTACTTTTAACTGGAAAGGGTTGAAAATTTTGCTTGTTTATCAATCACTGAAGGTGATAAAATTTTTGACAAAACAAACCTTGTTTTTAACCAGGTCTAGTTTTAAGCAATTGCTCGTTTCGTAAAAAAATAACATTCGCATAAAAGTGTCTTTTTACGAAGATGAATCTTTATTCAAACTTTTTTAATAACTGCAGTGGAAACTTTATTATTTTACCTATCAAATGATGACTGTAATTAAATCAAAACTGAATCAAACTTTTATACTGGTAATTTTATGCTTAAATCACACGGTTTCATTAATCAAACTTTCAGTCATTTTTAAGCAGGTAGAGAGGCAAATTATGGGGACAGGAAAAACTACGTAGACAATTGCCGTGTGCTCAGTTATGCTCTAAAAAAACTTTTACAACTCCTTGTAATTAAAAATGATTTCAAAGTTTCTACTTTGTTTATTAGCACACAAAATTAAGGACAGTAGTAAACTTCATAATCTGTACTGACTTTGGAGTAAATATTAAATATTGTAAAGCGTATAAAAGGTTTCTAAAAGTTATAGAACTTTTTTGATAAGATTCCTCAGTAGTAATAAAAAATTGTAAGTTCTTTATCACAACTCACAGTTCTGAAGAGTGGAGTGAATTTACAGCAAAAGTGTGCTGTCAAACTTCAAGTGATCGGCTATTTAAAACTTGTTTTCGGTCTTCTACTTTATCTCGTAATATTTATGTTTAGTATATATCTGCAAGAATTTGGACTGGGGGTTCATAAATACGCTAATATCTATCGTACTTTACTCTGCAGTACTGGGATGCACGACACCTCTTAACTGTTCCAGTTCGTAACGGTGTCGAAAACAGTTTTTGTGAACTATCTCCTTTAAAATGAAGAAATGGAACGAATCTGTTAACTTCTGACTAGAAAGTAGTATTAAGCTTTTTTTATTTCTATAGCCTTACGGTGTAGCACCTCCTACAATTGTTCAAGCCGATCTTCGAGTTACATCTCAAATCACGTTTCAGCTGTGTAGAAGTTGGACTTTATTTTGGCAATAAACATTCGCCTTCTTTTCACTCGGTAGCCTTTTAAAAAACAATGTATTTCTTCTAACCACACTTTTGAAGAAAAGTTCAGTAATGTAAGTGCTAACGTTAAGTGCGTTTCTTAGTCATCAACGTGATTCGCGAGGTAATGACAGCAAATAACCGTCGAAGAAAAGTGCTGCAAAGACACTTTTATTCGGTTAGGTCCTCGGGTAACTGCAGGAATTTTTATACGTCACTTTCGGAAAATAAATTAAATGAAAATTTCGGTAACGTTGTTAATTTTTTAAGTTATATTCAGATTTTTGCACACACTCGCTGATTTATATGTAATGCATTACAAAAAAGAGTTAGAACTAAAAAAAATTGTAGGATTTATACAAAGCATCAAATTTTTATAGATTTCTCTCCAAACACCTCTTTTTTTTT